GGCATCAGCACGGGCACCAGCACGGGCATCAGCACGGGCATCAGCACCACCATCAGCATGGGCATCAGCACGGGCACCAGCACGGGCATCAGCACGGGCATCAGTACGGGCATCAGCACAGGCACCAGCACCACCATCAGAACTGGCATCAGCACGGGCATCAGCACGGGCATCAGCACGGACACCAGCAAAACCATCAGAACGGGCATCAGAACCACCATCAGCACGGGCATCAGCACCACCATCACCACGGGCATCAGCATGGGCACCAGCACCACCATGAACACGGGCACGCTGCCACACCTTCCCGGAGCTCACCATCATGAAGACGAAGGGCAGGGCGATGAGGATGTTTGCCATGGCGAAGGACGACACACTGGCGCTGACCAGGAAGGCAAGACCCACGGAGGCCAGGCTGGCCAGGCTCATCGTGAGGGCGAACAGCAGGAAGGCCTCCACGTCGGGCTTCAGGCCTGGGGGGGGGAGACGGGCGAATGAACTGGCGTGTGGCGCAGTCAAACCACCAAGGGCATCAGATGAGGGGAATAAACACCGATCATGGAGAAGAAAGCTGTCGTCTGAGCTACCGGGGAAGATGGGGTAAGCATGCCGACGGGGTCGCTGACCCACCCATCATGTAATAGGCGATGCTGGAGAACAGGAACACAGGAATGATGCGATTGGGCACGAGGTCAGCAAACACTTTGGACAGGAAGTAGACAGACGTGCGGTAATATCCACTGGAGTTTTCATGGCTGCGGGGATGCAGGTGGTGAAATTAGTGCTGCCGCATTCGAGAAGAAGACCCGGCTGTGAATGATTTCTCCAGAGCTGCTGCTGGTGGAAGGGCTCCGGGTCCGACACACGGTGGGGGGGGGTGTGCTCCTCTATCCACTGCCCAGCACGCATACAGGCCACCAGCTGGAATTCCTAACTCTTCTTAAACGTAAGCAGCCCCCTGGATTTAGCTCAGACCAAGCCCTTAAGCTAAGAGCAGCACTCCCAAAGAGGGATGACTCACATGAAGAGGGCGCGCTCGTTGATGAAGAGCTCCACCGCCGAGAGGTTCCCAAACACCATGTTGATGATGAGGAAGAAAAACGCGCCGATCCTGCACATGCGAGGGTCAGGATATGTCACCATGGCGACATGTGGGGGTGGGGGGGTGTAATCAGAGCCAGCAGATAATAAAGTGTGAGCAAGGCAGACAGAGCACCCCCCAGCAGCCTTTATCAGACCCCGATATAGCGCTTCATGATTTAACATCTGATATAGCAGTGTCGAATCATGTGACAAGTAAGTCATGTGACAAGTCATGTGACAAGTAAGTCATGTGACAAGTAAGTCATGTGACAAGTCATGTGGTGGCATGGCAGGGATCATGTGAATCAGGTGTCACTACGGTGTTCAGCCTTGGAAGCAGGTTGACTCTTGCTTGCCTCAGATTACCTGTTCTGCAGGGCCTCCGGGAGGCTGTGAGGGATCTGATAGTAGATGAGACCAACCAGGATGGCAAAGATGACGTTGAGGATGAGCTGGGCGTAGGACGTTTGAGGGTTCCTCAAGATGTTCTTCACTGTACGGCCACAAACCACCCACAGCTGGTCAAGACAAGCGCTGTTACACACTGAAGGAGGTAATCTCCTTCACACACACACACACAAATGCATGCAACTCACACACAGACACACACCTCCCATACATTCACACACGCTCATGGATACACACACAAACACACACACACACACATATTTGTATTATATCTTTATGGGGACTCTCTATTCATTTCTATGGGCATAACCCTAATCCCAACATGACGACCTTAACCCCTACCCAGTCCTAACCTTAACTATAAGTAACCAAATAAAAAACAAGACTTGGCTAATTCATTCGTTTGTTTGTTTGTTTACACACAGCACATGCACAGACACACAGACACCCAGACACACACACATACACACGCTCCGTACTCTGTCCTGTGTTAAAGTTTTACAGCCTCCTGAAGCCTGAATGATGGTAATAAACAGGGTCAGTTATAGGTTAAGGGCTCTTTGCTATGTTAAAGGACAATAAACAGAAGACTCACTTAGAAGCTAAAAGCAGGTGTTTGTCATTGACACGTGACGATGCCAACATGTCACCATGCCGACGGGTGACCATGCGGACGTGTCACCATGCCAACGTGTCACCATGCCGACGGGTGACCATGCGGACGTGTCACCATGCCGACGTGTGACTATGCCGACATGTAACCATGCCGACGGCTGACTGTGCTCACACCTGAAACAGGAAGGAGGTGGCGTAGTTTGGCTTGTCTCTGACGGCCCGCATGCCAGGGTCCACCGCAAGCACCATCGTCTCCAGCTGCTCCATCAGCTCTCTGAAGAACCGCGACTCTCTGTACTTCTGGGCCAATGCGTCCTCCGCCCCCAGGACTGGGAAGATGGGAGGGGAGGGACCCGCCAGGGGTCCTTCTCAGCAGCCAGGCCTGTGCTCAGTGGCTTAGGGCCCTATGCCTGTGAGCGGATGTCTGATGGGTTGGGTCCCACAGACTATCTGACCCCACTTTCATACATAAAGATGTCTGCTAATTAAATAAAATCTTAATTTCTGCTTCAGATTCTCATGGCAAATTCACAAGAAGCTCTGGATGGTCCTACAGGGACCCGTGATTACCAGCATCAGGAGAGTCCTGGGTTGGAGTGATGTCCCCGTTGGTTATGTCCAGGAAGAAATCAGCAGGGTTGTTAAACAGCTCGCATTTGTATCCTAGGCAAACAGCCAGAAACACAGATGCAAGGTCTGTGAAAAACACATTATTATTCATATCGTAGGAACTGAGATTCTGCCTGAACTCAAATCTGAACAATGTTATCAATGTCAACAAGGTGGACCCACTCCTGATCTCTCCTGCCAATTCCCACTGCTGATCTCTCCCGCCGATCCCCACGCCTGATCTCTCCTGCCAATTCCCACTGCTGATCTCTCCCACCGATCCCCACACCTGATCTCTCCTGCCAAGCCCTGCTGCTGAGCTCTCCTACCAATCCCCACGGCAAGTGTAAGCTCACTGGGTTTTGAGGTTCCTCCAAAAGAAGATATTGCTGCTTCTTTTTTTTCAAAACAGCCTATTTTTATCAGAGATATCCATCGAGGTGGTAAATGTGGCCATGGAGCTGAATGACCACAGGAGATGCGCCTGCTCATTACTTTTCTGCATGAAGCTGCTGCACATGCAGCTTATCTTGCAAAAAATGCCAGAGCAGCACAATGCAGTGTCTTATCTGTCCATGCTGAGGATGCATCTCACTCAGATGGCCAACTTATCACGAGCCACAGAGACGCTCATTTCCAAAATCATGCTTTGGTGAATTTGTGAAATTCATATTGTGCAGAAAAGTCTCGCCCAGTCTCTCAATCTGCTCCATCCTGTCCATACCGTCACTGCAAGGTCACTCACCGAGGTCCTCGAAGTAGGACACGGCCTGCTCCGCCAGACCAGCATAGATGATCTCGCCTTTGTTCATGAGGGTAAGGTGGTCAAAGAGGCGGAAGATAGAGAACCGGGGCTGGTGGATGGAGAAGATGATTGTTTTTCCTTTCCTGGACAGTCTGCAATCAGAGTAGAGAACTGTGTAGGCGGCAGCGTCGACATGCTATATCTCCAAAGTATCCTTACATAAGGGCAGCAAAGGGCTTTAACACACAGACTGCCAGGAACAGACAGAAATATCATGTCAGGTTTAAGCTATGAGCTGGGCCCCTTTCTTGTTTTTATGGGGCCTCACTCAAAGAGTCACTTTGGGGCCCCTAATGCTCCTCAGATGTTTTAAAAATGAAAGGAATCACAGCTAGCCAGCAGAGTCAGAAGATCACAGCTAGCCAGCAGTCAGAAGATCACAGCTAGCCAGCAGAGTCAGAAGATCACAGCTAGCCAGCAGAGTCAGATATTGTTAAATAAATAAATGTGTGCACAAATAAATATATTCTAAAATGTGGCAATAAATTATATGAAATGTGAGCATAAATCCTTTAAGAAAAAAATTCTTCCTGTTTATTGCTGGTTTTATTTATATATTTGTTTGTTTTAGTGATACTGCACCTGGGTTTGAGGTTTGTTCCAGTGTTGTCATGGAGATTTTGCCCCCCCCCCCCATGGCCCAAAAACATGCTATGACTAATTGGATTTGCTGAATTGCCCATAGGTATACGTGGAAACTTAAAACTTGATTATATTTTGAAGATATTGTGCACTTAGGAAACAACAGTGTTCCTGGTATTCTATGCTTTTCTTCTGTTTTTCTAGCTTCTGAAACACAAGTTTATCCTTTCTTGTGTTCATAGTTACTCAAACAGGAAGCAAGTGAGCCGTATTTCACGCTTGCAGATATGACGTCACTATGTGCAAAGAGCCCATTAGTTGATTATGATGTGTTTGAGCAGAGAAATCTTCAAACTGTGTTAGATTCTGGCCTCCAGGGTCGGATTTGGGAAACCCTGGCTTACGGCGTGGGTGGTGAGTGTCTCTGATGATGCTGAATAGTGTTGGATGCAGATGTCCAGCAGGGTGGGCGGTTATGTCCTGGTGATATCTCCTTCTTAAAAAATAATTGATCAATTTAATCTATTTACTTATTCATTCATTCAATTGGTAAACGGGACATGGCTTACAGGTCGGGTCCCGGTACCTTTGCAACAGGGCGATGATGGAATTGGCAGTGTTGGCATCCAGGCCGGTGGTGGGTTCATCGAGGAAGAGGAGCGAGGGGGATGTGATCAGCTCCATACCGATGCTGCAGCGCTTCCTCTCGCCCCCCGACACGCCGCGCAGAAACTCCGTCCCGATCTGCAGAAGCACGTGCCCGTGTTTGCACATGTGTGAGCGCCTCGCTCTGTGTCACAGGCCCCGCGGGTGTGTGTCACCGATGCTCCTCCACGCACCTTGGTCTCCGCACAGTCCTGCAGGCCCAGCTCCTCGATGATGCGGCTGACCTTCACCTCCTTGTCCAGTGAAGAGTACAGACCCGGGGGCAGCCGCAGGTTTCCGGAGAAGGCCAGGTTCTCCCTCACTGTCAGAGTGCCCATCAGGATGTCATCCTGGGAAAGGAAAGGAGCGAGAACGAAGAGCGACTGTGGCCAGGCACGAGGTCATGTGACTTCTGGAGAGCTACAGATGGATGGGCTGCCGGTAAGTAGGAAAGAGGACCGATAAAGACAGAGGAGCCACGGATGTACGATGGTGACATGCAAAGGTGACACCACAGCATCACTAACTCAGTGCGGCTTTGAAGGTGCAGCAAAATGTTTAAAAAACCTGCCAGAACCTACAAACAGCAGTCCCTGAAAGAAATGATCACATAAAACAGGATGACTTGTTATTAATTATATACATCCGTTCATCCACAAATCACTTCTCTTAGAGAGGATCTTGGGAAAAAGATGAAATTGTTCACAATGAAGTGTTTAATTGACATCTGCCGACCTCTCCTTCTGTTAGGGTGCCTTCGCTCACCTGCACGACGTACGCTGAGCTGAGTCTCAGGTCAGAGGTCACGACCTTGCTGTCCACCAGCACCTGACCAGAACGAAGCCCGTGGGGGTCCTTCCTGCCAGCGATGACGTCCAGCAGCCTGTAGGGGGGAAATGTCACATGATCCGGAGCAGAGAGTAATGTAGACATATACAGCTCTGGAAAAAAATAAGAGACCACAGCAACATTTTTAATTTCACCTATTTCTCAGTTTATGGGTCTGCGTCTGTGTGAAAGATACATTTTTTTTTTTTGCAAACTGCAGCCTGGCTCTTCCCTGCTTCTCATTGATGGAGGGCTTCTTCCTGGCTTTATGGGACTTTAATGGTTTCTAGCAGTCTGTCCTAGCAGTGCACTTCACACCACTTAATGTTTCCCATTCTTTTTGAAGGTCACTTGAGGTCATCCTCTGATTTATGAGGCACTGCTGAGTAAGTTGACAGTCATCTCTGGCATTAGGAAGTCGCTTCTCCCCTCTGTCGGGCTGGTTTTTGGTCATTGCCAGTGTCTCCTGCTTCATCTTGTTCTTGTGTTCCGCTGCCTTAGAAGTTTTGAGCCTGGAAGCAGCCGGCGCAGCAGTGTAGCCTCTGCCATCAGAACCAGGATTAAACCAGGATTTAAGAATGCCGTGAAGTGGTCTCTTAATTTTTTCCAGAACTGTATATACAACTTTGGATATAAATATTTTTTGTCCGATTATGGAAAAACATGAATCTTCTGAGAGAATGGTGACCAGGTCCAGGAGATGCAGGAATTCCAGAAGATGTAACTGGGAATTTTATGCTACCCCTCCTTGGTAGAAAAAGGCAGGAATTCACGCATGGTAAAGGGTCACTTACGAGGTTTTCCCGCTCCCCGTCGGACCCATAATAGCGTTCATCCCTGGCTTCATGATCCCACTGAAAGACAAAGCCTACTGCATCACAGAGCCTGGAATCAGCCAATCGCAGTCACAGGTCTGTAATTTACCATGCATCTCAGCCAATCACAGGCGTGTAATTAACGTCCGTCGCAGATCTGTAATTTACCGTGCATGTCAGCCAATCACAGGCGTGTAATTAACGTCAGTCGCAGATCTGTAATTTACCGTGCAATACTAGAACTCATGGCCATAAGTGGAAATTAGATGGAGAACATTTTAAAACGAATTTGAGGAAGCACTTCTTTACACAGCGTGTAGTTAGAGTATGGAATAGTCTTCCTGCTAGTGTAGCGGAAGCTAAAACCCTGGGTTCCTTTAAATCAGAGCTAAATAAGATTTTAACAACTCTGAGCTATTAGTTAAGTTCTCCCCAAACGAGCTTGATGGGCCGAATGGCCTCCTCTCGTTTGTAAATTTCTTATGTTCTTAATGATATTTAATAAACAAAACGAAACTGAAAACCTTATTCAAACATAATGGGGCTTTACGGAACCTGAGTGAACCTCAGTGGTAGATTTGTGGGCTGTCCGCTTTCCACGCCCGTGGAGTGACACTTCACCAGGAAGTTTGGGAAGCCATCAAACTTTCTTGGGACGTGACGGTGCTGTTCTTCTAGCAGGACGGTGTCCAGTCAGCAGAAACGCCTGGCTAACGTCACAGAGAGCATTCTGCGGTTCTTCTCGCAAGGTGCCGGTAGTTAAGGTGCCACATACCTGACATCCTTCAGGATCTCCTTTTCAGGCCCTTTCTGGAAGGGGCCCCTGCTCTCCCTCACGCAGTAGTGCAACTTCTGGAAGGTCAGGGTGGGTCCAGGGCTGTGCGCGGTTTGTGGTCCCTCCTCCGAGACCTCCGGAGTCAATTTGGTCAGCATGATGCTGTCGGCGAGGCATCCAGCGTCCCGGTTCATATGCCCTGCTGTCTCTGCCTCTGTGCCCTGCACTTCCTGCCGACAGCGATTCCCACCATCTGAAGCACTTCTGAAGCTCATTCGTCCGCCACACGCTGGTGCACTTTGGATGGAGGCAGGGCTTTGGTTATGGCGCTCCCCCCACCCCTGAACCTGGTGCCGGTTATGTGGTCATTAACACGTGATGAACATGACAAAGCGTCCCAGAAGACAGCCCTGCAGGAGAGAGACAAGCCAAGTGTAACAAATGAGCCCAGCCCTTACATTATTTGGATTTGTTGGGTGTTATAAAACTTACTGTAGGATAGTTTAATGACAATTGGCAAGCCAACTCAACCTCACCCCCCTGCCCCTTGTGTAAACCACCCCCCTCCCCCATTATATAAACCAAGGTTCATTCCAACTGTGTGTGGAGTTTGTTCTCACTGTGTTTGTGAGGGTTCATTCCAGCTGTGTATGGAGTTTAACTCTTTCTGAAGGTTCATTCCAGATGCATGCAGGTTTGTCAGGGTTGTTGCCATCCGACCTTTGCCCTTTCTTAATATTCCCTATTTGACCAGTAGGCGTCGCTGGTTATCTCACTTCTGCCTTCCCTGTCTTATAGCCCTTTAGCCTTAGTGTGTTTCCCCAGCTCCATGAACTGCCACATAACTCAGCTTGGAGGCTGTAAACCTTTGCTCATGGGTTTGAGGCTTATCACAGACCACCCTCACCTGTTTCTGGTCGTGGGTTTGAGGCTGGCCACAGACCACCCTCACCTGTTTCTGGTCGTGGGTTTGAGGCTTATCACAGACCACCCTCACCTGTTTCTGGTCGTGGGTTTGAGGCTGGCCACAATTCAATTCAATTTCAATTCAATTTTATTTATATAGCGCATTATCACAACATTACATTGTCTCAATGCGCTTTACATTTCTGCCTCGTAAGGACCCCCCATTGAGTAAGCCAAAGGCAACGGTGGCAAGGAAAAACTCCCTAAGAGGAAGAAACCTTGGGAGGAACCAGACCCAAAGGGGGAGCCCATCCTCCAGGGGCCGGCAGATGAGTCAAACAAACAAGATGAAATGACTAAGCTAATACAGACAAGAGGAAGTGACTAAGCTAATACAGGGGTTGAAATATATGTCTCAATGCAGCGGCCGACCGGTGCAGGCACGTGGTGCTTGATGCACGATGGCAGGATTAATAGACACACAGCCGCAGGATGGATGGCGAGGCATCGTGTTGAGCCAAGGGCAGGCAGGTTGGAGGGTAGTTGCCGGAGGTCGAGGTAGATGTCTTGCAGGCCGCAGAGGCATAAACTCTTCAACGACATTGTGCTCCATGGAGCACACCCCAGAAGGGGTGACCCTCACCTGTTTCTGGTCGTGGGTTTGAAGCTTATCACAGACCACCCTCACCTGTTTCTGGTCGTAGGTTTGAGGCTGGCCACAGACCACCCTCACCTATTTCTGGTCGTGGGTTTGAGGCTTATCACAGACCACCCTCACCTGTTTCTGGTCGTAGGTTTGAGGCTGGCCACAGACCACCCTCACCTGTTTCTGGTCGTGGGTTTGAGGCTGATCACGGACCACCCTCGCCTGTTTCTGCTCGTGGGTTTGAGGCTGATCACGGACCACCCTCNCCTGTTTCTGCTCGTGGGTTTGAGGCTGATCACGGACCACCCTCACCTGTTTCTGCTCGTTCGGTTTGAGGCTGATCACAGACCACCCTCACCTGTTTCTGGTCGTGGGTTTGAGGCTGGCCACAGACCACCCTCACCTGTTTCTGCTCGTGGGTTTGAGGCTGATCACAGACCACCCTCGTCTGTTTCTGCTCGTGGGTTTGAGGCTGGCCACAGTCTGCAAGGATGTGCTGAATTTGTGATCAGGAAGATGACGTGTGAACGAGAAATTCTGCGAATGAATGGTGAAAGGATATTACATCAGATAAATTATGCTATGCAGGTCACACAAGGTTAGTATTAGTGAATATCTGTTGCTAAGAAGGGAAGAGGGGATTGTTTCTAGATGGTTCCACTGAATAAGCACTCAGCCTGGCAGTTATCAAGCAGCCTGCACACCATCTTTCTCGCCGATGAAGTGCTCGTTGCACCCTTGTGGGGGCTGTTGGGTCAAAGCTGTTGGCTTGGTGGTCTCTTTCAGGTTGTTCTCTGGGTTTTTGATGTTGTCTGGACAAACCCCCAGTGCTGTAATCGAATTAGGTTTCTGGAGGTATTATGTGTTTGTAAGTCTCTGCTTCTGCAAAAAAATGTTATAAATGAACCAGTAAAGTGGGGGCAAAAGGATCATTTTCCCAGGGGAATCATTAAAATATCACCATTCTTTTCCATTATTCTATTAAACACTGCTGGCAAATGGAATTCATTCTGACTCCAAATATAAGAATGTTTAAGGTGCTGACGTGATTTCAGTGTAGTTTTGTGGGTTCAGTGTAGTTTTGTTACTTGTGCACAGCAGAACATAATGTTTTACACAAATTGCAATGTTTTAGTACATGTATGCAAATGATAATAGAAAAGAACAGAATATCATTATTGTCGTTATACATAAAAATAAAGATATTAGATTATATTCTATTATCATTTGCATACATATATTACGTACAATTTTCCTAATTATCAGCTGGGGAAGCCATTTTGCGGATTAAGTTCGAGAACAGAGGTACCACTGTATTCTTTTTACAGAAACGGTGGATGCTTACTGCGAAACAGTGCAACAGTTAACTCATTTATTGGGATAGATGAACTGATACATAAACCCAAAGAATATGCTTGAACAATGAATATCTTAATGGATGCAAACAATGGCATATATTTTGTGAATTAATTAACAATTGGAACTGCTAGATTCCCCTTGCCTAGAAAGCAAGTAAAAAATGTAGGAACAATACTCAATCATCTCTAGTGGTATGTCTATCAAAGGAAGTCCTGGTCCTTTAGTTGTTCTGTCCCTTACAAAAAGCCTGTCAGCCACTTCTCTCAGATTGGCGAAGACAACATTACTGATGTTGTTGTTCGTCTGGGCGACAAACTCATTTAACCTGTCTAAAACTAAATGACTTCTGAGCAACAGAAAATCTGCAGAGTATGAACTATCGTCAACTTGCTGCGCTAGCATCATAAGTTCCTCCACAATTTCACCGGTCATCTCCATCGCTCAAATTTCCCCCTCTTGGTCGTCGACTGCGAGTGACGTCACTCCCCATACAATCACGCCCCACAGTATAGAGCCACCCTTGACGCTGATTGACAGGTTTCCGTGTAATGCGTCGGAAATTCAAATACAAAATGAATTGCGATTGCGTTTGAGTTTTGGCAGGCTACATAGAAAGTGCTGCAGAGAAAGTGAAAAAGCAGACGTGGTAATTGATTTTGCTATTTAAATATGACAGGCTCATAACTTGTAAGACATGGGAAATGCAACTGCAAATGGACTTTTTCATTTGAAATTTGGCACTCAGTGTTCGTTCGCGAAAGCAAAAAAGCAAACGGAAATGCAAAATTGCATTTGAATTATGTCACACTTTATGCGTCCATATATGGAAAACGCAATTGCAAATGCAATTAGCAATTCCTTTTGAAAAATGTCCAGGATTTCCCTCCATATTTCCAAAAGCAATTGAGTAAAACTGTAATAATGCCAGCAAGATGAGGAGCAGGTGGATTGAAGTGACATGCGGCTCCCGCTTATGGACACACTGGGACCTAGGGGGACTGAGACCATGAGACTCCGGTCTTTGGCAGGGGCCCAACTTCCCAGCGTGCCCCCCCCCTGGAGTGACATGCGGCTCCCGCTTATGGACACACTGGGACCTAAGGGGACTGAGACCATGAGACTCCGGTCTTTAGCAGGGGCCCAACTGCCCAGTGTGCCCCCCCCCCCCTGGAGTGACATGCGGCTCCCGCTTATGGACACACTGGGACCTAAGGGGACTGAGACCATGAGACTCCGGTCTTTGGCAGGGGCCCAACTGCCCAGCATGCCCCCCCCCCCGGAGTGTATAAAATACGGAACAAATAGCGTTCCGTAAAACGAGGAACAGGCAGCAGCCCTGAGTGGCCATCGATGTGAGGTCAGCTAGCTTGCAGGGAGGTGGATGCATTTCCTACACAGACCTGCAGGTACAGCACCAGCTGCTTCCTCATGCTTTCATTTTTCTCTTTTCTGTGCTCCTGACTTGGGCTGGCTTGAAGCGTTCTCTCTCTCTCTCCCTCTCTTTCTCTCTCTCTCATTAATCGGGCCCTCCCCCTTCCTGATTTGATCAGGGGCCCCACATTCTGTGCTGTGCTTGATATACGTGCAGGAAGAGGTGGCTCTGGTCCTTAGATCCTAGAGAACACAGAGCATGGTATCTGGGGAACATGAACCTTGGGTGAAAGGCCAGCAGGCCTTGGAAGCCTCAGGCATCGTACTACAGAGCATGTGGCCCATCATGGACACAGCAGTGAAGTCACAGTGTCACATGGGGACATGGACACCAGTGCTGGTGTGACATTCGTCACGTATATATCTGGGCTGTTTGGAAACTCTGCAGTGGTGTGATCTTTTAAATATTACTAACTGCCGTCTGAATGTCAGCTTTTTTTGGTCTGATCCTTGACAATAACAGACAGCAGCTGATGACTTCCTCTTGCTCTTATCAGTGATTTCAGTGATTAACAGTAAAGCTGCTTTTTGCTTGGCTCAGGGCTGAAGAGCAGGAGCACTGAGACGACATCTTTCTGACGAGCAGATCAGCCGGTCTGCACAAAGTCAGTCAGCACCAGTGTGTTAAAAAGTCACTTTATTACACTGACTCAAATGTGTTCAATTTTCCTGAGTTAAAAAACAAATATAACATAATATCTTCCTGAGACCCGAGGAAAACAGTGTCCTCCAATTTTAGGTTATTTGTCTTTGGAGGAAATAAGACATCTTACAATTAAGATTTTTTCAAATCTCCTCCTTGGATTGCCACCTTATCGTGGTGGAGGGGTTTGCGTGCCTCAGTGACCCTGGGGGCTATG